CAGAAGGAAACATCTTAAGGAAAGGCTATTTCCTGGTACCTTTTGCCAGGAGTTCTCCCCCTTGGTTTTCTACCTAGGATACTGGCTAGGACAGAATGTCTCACCACTGGATTTTTGAAGTGGACTCATAACTTTTACATATGCCAGAAGTTTAAAATTACATTTTAATTATAGAATAATAATTTTTAAAGGAATAAAAGCAAACTCTCTGCTAGGTATTAGTATAGATGCAACACATTAAATAATACTTTAAGTAAAATTGGTTAAAATAAATATCAAGTGCAGAAATGTAATTAGACATCATCAATAAAGTGATCAGATATAAAAGTTTTGAAATGACTATAGTTCATTTGTTTACTCAACAAACATTTTATTAAGCACTGGCCATAAAGCAGGAAACAAAACAGATTACCCTCTCTACTCTCCTGAAGCTTAAAATTTGCTCAGAAATGCTCTCGCTACTTCAAAGAAAGCAATTAAATAAAGAATCATGAAACATTTGAAAGGGCACTGGTCTAGGAGTCCCAAGATCTGAATCCCAATTCCATGTCTACTGATTAGTAAACAACTGATACTGGATATGTCACCTTAATTTCTTCCAAGCTTTAATTTTATTTCTTGAAAAATGGTGCATATTACCTGTCCTGCATACCTCAACAGTTAATCATAAGGACCACAGAGAAAATATTCAAAAATACCCTGAATCCAAAGCTCTATATTCACAGGGTAGCAATATTGCTGAAATGCATGAAAAATTATCAAATGCCTTATCATAAATACTTTTAGTTCATACAGACAGTCTACTGAAGGTCTATGTGGTCAGACAGTAAAGCTCAAGGCTAACTGTCAAGGACATTAAAAGCACAGAATGACACATATTCAAAGGTTCTGACCTTTCTCCATTTAATCATTCTAACTTCCCCTGGATTTCCTTTACATGTCAAATAGCATTCATATTCTCAAGCAATGTTCAGCCACAGGAAGAGAAAATGAGTCAAACAGACTTCCACCAAACTTTCAAACTGAGCAATAAGTACCATATGTGTCTTTACTCTTCAGCGTATGTGTTTGTCACCTCTGTTTGAATCTTAACAAATGACAGAACTTTCAAAATAGAGACAAGTTCAGTTTGCAAAAGAAAATAACAGTCGCTGTAATTGCAACCACATTAACTAAATTGAGCTTTTGCTTAAATTACTTCTGTTGAAAAACATAGTCCTTAGGAATATGAAGTGCTTAAGATATGGCCAAAATATTAAAAAAACTTCAAAATTAAACTCACGAGAGTTAATTTAATTTAAATAAATTTCACTTGGCATAATACGAGTTCGTAGTACCACTGGCAGGTAATGAATATGAATCTGTCTTTATCACTGGTGAACACCAAGCATAAGAAACAGTTAACATCTATCAGTGCTCAATGAACAATGGAATCCAACATGCTAACTCTTTAGGGCTAGAGAAACAGAATAACCCTGCTTTTCTTCAGACACTGGCAAACATATACCGTGATAGCTCAGAGTCAGCTTAATCCTTCCCTTCCTGGCTCAGAATGAAAATAAATATGCTGTCCCAGACCTAAAATGTGATTACCCCTCATGGGTTTTCACGGAGGAGGGAGGAACAAACAAGAAAGTGATCATGGATGAATGGGCTTTGTATAATTTTCAATCATATATCCTTGTTTTAGGAGGCAGAAAAAGACAAGACAACTGCAGAGAAAGTTCTTAGAGTGGTTGTGCTCTGATGATGATTTATCTGCAATCACTGGGTCACTTTCCACACTAATGGACTCCCACCAGCATTCTGGAAGTTCAGTAAGTTGACAAAAAAATTGGAGGGATATTGAGGGATAGAGTCACATTCAGGAGCTTATCATCTGCCACTATCCAACTGGCCCCATCTCCACACTTTCTCTTTTCTCTCTCTCAGCTCATTTTCTGGAATTACTGACAAATTCCTCCATTTGTCTTCAAACAAGTTTTGCACATGCCATTTTCCTCAAGATGTGATTATCTATCAATCAGCAACAGGTAAAATAAATTGCATAGCCAATAAAAGAGGGAGAAGATAAAGAACATATAGACATGTCAAAAACAAATAGGGGGATAGCTCCTGTTAAACCACTAGGTATTCTGTTATAGAATTGCATGCCGGGTATTCTTGCTATAAAGCATCTTTGCTGCAAACATTTTTGCCACATGACTAATGGACTGTAAGGCAATTTTGCAATGAAAGATAAACTGGTTAATAGTTTTTGGTTTGACAGTTTGGTTTCAACTGGTTGAAATCTGTTAGCATTCATTCCAGTTAGAAACATATTGATCACTTTACTGAGCTGACGGATGACAATGGTTTTCCATTAGTTGGTTTCTTGTTTTTTTTTTTTTTAATATATATATATATATTTATTGAAGTACATAGTCAGCTAAAATGTGTCAATCTCTGGTGTACAGCATAATGTCCCAGGCATACATACATATACATACATATATTTGTTTTCATATTCTTTTTCATTAAAGGTTATTACAAGATATTAAGTAGAGATTCCTGTGCTATATAGAAAAAATTGGTTTATCTATTTTTATATGTAGTAGTTAATATTTGCAAATATTTATCCCTTCCTATCCCCTTTCCCCCTAGTAACCATAAGATTGTTTACTATGTCTGTGAGGCTATTTCTGTTTTGTAGATGAGTTCATTAGTGTCTTCTTTTTTTCTTTTTTTAGATTCCACATGTAAGTGATATCATATGGTATTTTCCTTTCTCTTTCTGGCTTATTTCATTTAGAATGACAATCTCCAGGTCCATCCATGTTGCTGCAAATGGCATTATTTTATTCTGTTTTATGGCTGAGAAGTATTCCATTGTATAAGTATACCACAACTTCTTTATCCAGTCATCTGTCAATGGACATTTAGGCTGTTTCCATGTCTTGCCTATTGTATATAGTGCTGGTATGAACATTGGGGTGCTTTATCTCTTCGAATTTGAGTTCCCTCAGGATATATGCCCAGGAGGTAGACTACTGGATCATGTGGTAAGTCTATTTTTTAAGGAATCTCCATACCGTTTTCCATAGTGGTTGCACCAAACTACATTCCCACCAACAGTGTAGGAGGGTTCCCTTTTCTCCACACCCTCTCCAGCATTTATCATTTGTGGACTTTTTCATCATGGCCATTCTGACTGGTGTGAGGTGATACCTCACTGCAGTTTTAATTTGCACTTCTCTGATAATTAGCAATATTGAGCATTTTTCACATGTCTATTGGCCATTTGTATGTCTTCATTGGAGAATTGCTTATTTAGGTCTTCTCCCCATTTTTGGACTGGGGTGTTTGGTTTTTTTCTTATTAAGTTGTATGAGCTGTTTATATATTCTGGAAATTAAACCTTTGTCAGTCACATCATTTGTAAATATTTTCTCTCATTCTGTAGGTTGTCATTTTGTTTTGCTTACAGTTTAAAGCTTGTAAGTTTAACTAGGTCCCATTTGTTTATTTTTGCTTTTATTTCTATTGCCTCGGCAGACTGCACTCAGAGAACATTGCTAAGATTTATGTCAGAGAATGTTTTGCCTATGTTTTATTCTAGAAGGTTTATAGTGTCTTGTCTTGTATTTAAATGTTTAAGCCATTTTCAATTTATTTTTGTGTATGGTGTGAGGAAGTGTTCTAACTTCACTTACATGTGGCTTTCCAGTTTTCCCAACACCACCTGCTGAAGAGACTGTCTTTTCTCCATTGTATATTCTTGCCTCCATTGTCTAAGATTAATTGACCGTAGGTCTGTGGGTTTATTTCTGGGCTCTCTATTCTGTTCCATTTTTGATCCATATGTCTGTTTTTGTGCCAAAACCACACTGTTTTGATTACTGTAGCTCTGTAGGATTGTTTGAAGTCTGGGAGGGTTATTCCTGCAGCTTCATTCTTTTTCTTCAGTATTGCTTTGGCAATTCTAGGTCTTTTGTGATTCCATGTAAAATTTCAGATTATTTGTTTTAGTTCTGTGAAAAACTGTCATGGGTTATTTGATAAGAATCATATCAAATCTGTAGATTGCCTTGAGCAGTATGGCCATGTGACAATATGCCAAAAACAAACAACAGTGTAGAATAAGTTTTCACAATGCAATATAAAACTCAGTTACAAATATGCATCCTAGTATTTGAAAACTGATACCTCTCTTAATGAAGGAAAAAAATTATAGCAAAAAAGAAAAAGTGTGATGCCAAATGAGAAGATGAATCAATAATTTTTTTAAAAAAGTGTATAAAAATACTATAAAGACTAGGAAGACAAGGTACAACCACAAAATAAAATCAGTTCCTTGTGCAGTATTGCCATACATCTACATGCATTTTAGATGCATTCAAACATGTTGTATTTAGCAATAAAGTCTTTTTTAAATTGTTATTCATTTCATGTGTTTCATTATGTTTTTTTAAATGTCCCTCTTGTTTTTCATTGTTTTATCTCTTATGGCAAAACTGCCTTACAGCCAGTTAATTATGCAGCAAAAATCCTTGCAGCAAAGATGTCTTAGGCAAAGATGCTCAAAGTGAAAAGACCTAGAATTGGGATACCTGTCAAAAGGCACCAATAACAAAATAAGCAACTTAATTTACTTATTAATTTAACTCAAAACAAGTAACTTAAACCTTAAAAAGAGAAGCACAAATTTTCAGAGGTGAACCACCACAAAGTCAACACTATTATACTGGAGCAAGCAGCATAAATTTTTATGCCTCAGAAACATTGAATGGCATTGGCACATTTTTATTTCTTGCTTCTGTCCCTGTCTGGATGCTGAGCTGATGGCATTTTGTGTTTAGGAATAGGGCACTCGGCTAGCTTTGCCAGAAAAGGGAGCAGAGCTTTTCCTGTGTGACCACTAAGTGATTATGAATTCAGAGCATCGGCTGCCACACTTTAAAATCTCCCTGTGAGTTCCACAGACATTAATGGGCCCCGGCATTCAGCACCTCCAGACTTACTTGTGTTCCTGTGATTTTGGTCCCCTGGGAGAGAAGCACCTGTGGTCCAGACTGGAATGTGTCGGGTGGGGTGTGCTGTAGGCGTCCCAGTACTCTCGTTAGGAACTGTATTTGGAAGAATAACATCAGACACGTGGACTTCACCATCAGTGACCAAAGGTTCACTTCCATTTGATTTAAAATAGCCTTTTTTTAATGTTCCTGAAAGACCAAAAAAAAAATGATATTTTCAAACATTACTAGAAGTTTTTATTTAAAAAACCTATTAGGAAAACTCTAGAGTTATTTTCCTAGGCAAACACAAAGAGAAAGATGATGGTCAGCAAAACTACCCACTTCACTGGGACAACCAAGAGTTTCTCTTTTACTGTCAATCATATAACCCTGTGCTTTCTCAAAAAGTTTAGAAACTGAGTCTCCCATCCAGATTTCCTACTACCCAAAGAATCTAGTCCCACCTCACCTGGGACTTACCACAAATAAATAAAACGTGGCAAATCTTAGAGTATTTCCTTCCTGCTTTCTCAGTTTCTCAATTTCACACATCACTTTATGCTACTCAGTACCTAGGACACATGCTCTCCCTGTCTTTCTATCTGCCACTAAGGACAACAGAGCCTGCCTACCATCAGCCTTATATTTTTCCATGCTTTGCACTAAATTTCAGTGAACTATACACAACAGATAATAAAAATAATAGGGCTCAAATATTTACCAAGACTTAACAGAAACCCCAAAAAGGAAAACTCTAATTCCAGCAAAACTGAAAGAAGGAACGTAATTATCTTCATCTTCAACCAGAAGCTATAAAATATGATAATAAGCAATAGTTATTAAACTAAGGTTACCAACTGGTCACTTTCTCAAGGTTCATGGACAAAATAGTCAAATCTGAGATTACTGGAAATCACCTAGCTTTGGCTTCAGGCAGAAAATCTGAAAACTTTGAAAGAGATCATGTATTTTTAACTCAGTCAAAATAGACAACAGACTTTCCAGATTATACAGCACTCTAGTTGAGTACACCACTAAATAAATGAATCTGATATTGATCTATTATAGAAATACCCAAGGGAGATTTTTTTTTCCCTAAAAGCATTTACAGTGAATGCTCTAATTGGCTGTCACTTTTCCAAACAGTCTATGGAGCATTAAAAATAAAAGAAATATAAATAAAATGTTTAATATCCGTCTATGGAAAAAATTCCTCTACATGTGCTTGACACTTGGAAAACATTAACTACAAATCAAAATAGAAAAGCAGCTGCTTTCTAGCTAACGAAGGTCAACAGTTTCATCTGCCAAAGGATTCTAAATAAAACAGCAAAGCATAAAAGCTAAATCATGACCACGTGGGGCAGGTAACACATTCTCCAAACCATCTGTGTGATGATGAATAGACATTAAATGCAGTAGGTAAAATGAAAGACTTTAATTGTTCTTGATTTTCAAAATGATTTTGCACTCATCCTAGTTTAAGATAAATATATATGATAGACTTGATTACTAAGTAATACGTATTTCACTCATACAGAAAACATTGCTACTTAATTATATATAATTTTATATTTCATTTATTGGTTGCTCTCTCCTTTACGAAGTGCCAGCTCCTCAGTTACATCCCTGAGTAATTCGCTTAAAGGGAGTTCCTTATCTTATGAAATATTTCAACAGTTATTCGTAACATTTTGTTTGTATTCACTAGCCTCATTAGTAATCTTTCCTTTAACTTCCTCACATAACCAAAGTGGTGAAAGTGTTAATAACATCTGTTTACTCTAAAATATCCTTTAAACACTGACATTTTAGGAAACACTGACTTGGATAACAGTTTTCTTAAAAAAAAAAAAAAGTACAAAGTAGCTTCCTTCCTCTTAAACTCTACATGTCAAAGCAAGTTGGCAGAACAGAGAGAGAACAACATTCGTAAACTATATTTTTGAGAGAAAGACAGACAAGACAACAACCCTAAAGGACCTGTCTTTAAAATCATGAAACCAGTAGACAATTTGTTTTCAAGCATCTCTAGAAACTGATCAACTCTCCATTATGTATCTTTTTAAAAGCACAATAAACAGAATTCAGTAAGACAAGCTACACCATGATGAGCTGAGAATTATTAGCCCAAAGTAGCATGTTCATTCTTCCCGCGTTGCTCCATCCTTTTCCACATTCCTGTTTTATAGTGCTGTGGTTAAAAGCACAGATTCTACAGCCTGACCACCTGGATTTAAATCCCATCGCTAACACTTACTGGCCCTGAAACTTCGGGAAAATTTTCAAGTGCCATAAAATAAGGAAAATAAAAGTGCCTCCCCTCATGAGGCTGGCCATTAGTATTAAATTCGTCAATACATACATAACCCTTGGAACAGTTCCTGGCACACAGTTCTCAATAACTGGTAGTCATTACTAATGAGAATAAAATTGTCTTCCTCAGGACTACTAAGGTATTTTTAAATAAATGCCAATTTCCTTTTATTATAAGTGCATCCCGACATAACAGAATGGCTAAGGAAATTTTCAAAAGTGAATCACGTAACCCACTTTTTGAATGAAAGGACTGGCTCTTCCACATGAAGTTATTAATAGAAGGCCACCTTATATCAAGGTTGTATGGCTCAAAAGTGTTTCAGCTCTAACACAGCTCTATACAACAATGTTTAAGAAATAGTCTGCAATTCCACTAGTAATAGCCAAGCTTTACTGATCACTTACAATGAGTGGCCTGAGCTCTGTGGTAGGCAACATAATGCTTTTCCAGAGAAGTCCACACCCCGAGTCCCAGAACTTATGAATAGGTTACTTTACATAACTTACATGGCAGAAGGGATATAAGTTAAGGAATCTGAGATGAGGAAATTACCCTGAATTATCCAGGTGAGCCCATGGCAGTCACGGGGTCCTTATAAGCAGAAGAGGGAGGTAAGACAGTGGGTGTCAGAACTACAGTGTAAGAAAGACTCAGTGGGCCATTGCTTATTTTGAAGATGGAAAGGGGCCACAAGCCAAGGAATGCAGAAGCCTCCAGAAGCTGGAAAAGGCAGGAACAGATTGCCCCCCAGAGCCTCCAGAAGGAATGCGGTACTACCAACACTTTAACTTTAGCCCAGTGAGACCTATTTTGGGCTCTGACCTCTATAATTCTAAGGTACTATATCTGTGTTGTTTTAAGCTCCCAAGTTGTTATAACAGCAATAGGAAACTAATTCAGGCACCTTACTAAGTATCCTCACTATAGGCATCTGCTGAGCGAGCCTTCCAAAAATCCGATGAAACTGCTCCTGTAATTAACTCTTCTTTACAGAGTTTGAGAGAGAAGGAAACTGAAACTTACAAGAGTTATTTAACTTACCCAAGAATTGAGTTGGAACATGACATACACATACGCACACACCCACACACACTTCTCACTTTGGAAAAGGTACACAAGTTAAAAAAAAATCAACCATTATATGCACATAAAAATTTATTTTTCGATGATGTGAGCTTGAAATTAATTCCTTATCTTTATTTCTCTAGCCATGTGGTAAGACATTTACTTTGCATTTTCTATGTGCCAGGAACTATGTATTTCCTCTCTGCTGAAAGTAAATTACAAAATTTAGTAATAAGTTCTTATCATCATGATGTTTAAAGATTTGTTGAGGGGGACAGGCATGCAATCTAAAAATAAGGACCCCGCTACAAATGCTTTGAGAATGATATACATAGAGCAATCTGGTGACGGAAAGTAGAGAAGGAGCTGTCATTCCATTTGAGAAAGTCAGAAGAGGCTTCTCAGGGGAGAATGATCCACAATGTGAATCTTAAAAGATGGTTAAAGGTTTTCTAGGTTTGAGCAAAGCATTGGTGGGGAAGGAGTTGTAGTAATAGGGAATGGAGGACTTTCTAGATAGAGAGATATGCAAAAACTGAGCAGCAAGTAATGAAACGTGGCAAGCACAGAGGTGACTGACAAGAGAAAAGGCTAGAAAGGAAGTAGAAGCCAGACTGTGAAGGGTATTCCTGTTAAAGGTTTGGAATCGATCTTGTTGTGATGGAGAACTGCTGAAGGGTCTTAAATGGGGTGGAATGTTAGGATGATCACTCTGGCAACAGGGTGATGCTTGAAAGGGGCTAAGTCTAGCAGACTGTTAGAAGGGTATTGCAACAGTCCAAGTGAGAAAAGAGGAAGGCCTGACCCAAGGCAAAGGCAATGAGGACAAAGGGAACATTTGGGAGAGAGATTTTGGAAGCAAAATTAAGAGAATATAACAAGAAGAGTCATAGGTCCCTTCAAGGTTTCTGGTTTCAATTACTGAGAAAATGAAGTTATTTACCAAGATGGGGGTGGTAGTCATTACTGCTGTTTAGCAAATATTTTCAGTTCTCTCCCATTCTACTAGGGCACATGCTGGAGTTATGTTCTCTGGCCTCATTCTCTGTCTCTTGACGTCTTTGATGTTGGTCAAAGGGTACAAACTTCTAGTTATGAGATGAGTAAGTTCTGGTGATCTACTGTATAGCATTGTGATTATAATGAATGACATTGCATTATATGCTTTAAAAAAAGAAACTCCAGTGCTCTTTTTCTTTCTCTCTGGCATAATAACCACAAAGGTTCAAGCTGGTCCATCAATTCAGTCCCTGAATGGCCTGAATGAGCATAGCCCCCTTGTCAGCTTGCAAAGGAAATGCTGCATGAATGAGAAACTGACCTTTACTGTTTTTAAACCTCAAGCATATTAGGATTACTTTTGTTACACAGTATAGCATAGCCTGTCCTGACTAATAAAAGAGATAAAAGAAAATGAAAAATAGAAGTCGTAGAAGTTTACTTTTGTTAGTGTAATTATTATGAATACATTGAGTATAAAATGCCTATGAAATATTCAAGGGGAAAAAAGTCTAAATCTGGAGCAATCTAAACACTCCCTACAGAAGCTCTTGCCAGGCTACCCCACAAATTTGCATCTTCTTTGTGTTCCCTTGAGCACACTCTGTTTATATCAATCATATATACACTAAAGTGAAACTGTTTTCTTGTCTGCCTTCCTCAGAGGTAGGAAGGTATATTATGCATGCCTGCATCCCAGGCGCATGGCAGAATGCTTGGCACCAGTGTAGGTCTCAATAGGTATTTGTTGAATGTATGAATGATGAAGGAAGTCATGGGAGTGGATGACACTGTCAAGAAAGACAGGGACGTGAAGTGAGAA